ACCCCTGTGATCTCAGCACTTGGGAAGGTGAGGCAGGAGGATTGTGAGTTTTAGACAAAGACTTTGTGTCAATTAAAAAAAAATAAGGGGCTAGAGAGATGGCTCAGTGGTTAAGAGCACTGACTGCTCTCACAGAGGACCTGGGTTCAATTCCCAGCACCCACATGGCGGCTATGAACCATCCTTAACTCCAGTTCCAGGGGAATCTGAAGCCCTCTTCTGACTTCCGTGGCACTGCATGACACGGGTGCACTCACATACATGCAGGCAATACACTCGTACACATAAAATAAAAATAAAATATTAAAAAACTTAAAAGAGCAGGCCTACACTGTAGCACCCAGCAGTACCCAGGGCTTTGCTTAGGAAACTGGGTGAACAACTACTGTGTCTGTTCAATCACTTAGGTCTGCTTTTGACCTTCAAACAGCAACTTTGGTGAACGTGTGAGACCTGCAGTTCACTTCTGGTGATCAAGGTGATGCCTTCAGAAATCTTGGGATACTTGCAGTCAGACTTCTGGCAGCTGGTACAGGTGGGCCACAACCCTCTTCCCAGGATCTCCTTCCCACATGCTCAGTAAGGCCTCTCCCCAACTTCTCATATGCATTGGGAGGTCCTTGGTACATTCATGTCCAGGTGAGGGTCTGTGCTCAGTGCTTGGTTTCTGCAGATGCTGATGCCAGGACTCTGGGGTGGAGACGGTAAGGTAGGCTGTCCCTCAGAGCTGTGGTAACCTTGACATGGCCCCCCTCTTCTCTGAAAGCTACATGACCAGGTCTCTTGATGGAAGCACTGTGGAGAGCAGGGTGGGGCCTTGGTACAACCTCGGACCCCAGGACCCCAGGACCCCTGGTCAGTTCTAGGTCCTGGCATTTGCCACCTCTGACCTGCCTGTGTGCCAGAATTCAAATTCTTAAAGTGAATCAGAAGAGTAGGCTGCATTTACTTTCAAAATTCTCCACTCCTCTGGTCTGTGGCCCGTCCCCGGCGGTGAAGCAGCCCCCGTTTATCTTCTATTTCTATATTTCTTCTATCAATTACTTGGAAGAGAAACCCTGTACTGGGGAAGCTATGCTGAACAGAAGCATGCTTTAAACATTGGTCATTTCAGCCAGGAGCAAAGACCGATGGGAGATCTGGAGTGCGTGTGAAGTGACCAGCACCAAGAAAGCCTTTCTCACCAGAGCACGAGCACGGGAAATGAGGAGATGGAGAGATTTTAGAGACACCACCATCATGCAGAACGCCCCCACTTTAAATTGTCATTACAAATAACCTATCACTGGGCACAACCTCTCATCTTGCAGGAGACACACGGCACCAGGTGCCACGTGGGCTCGGGATGGGGAAGGCGCCAGCACAGTGCTGAGCGGTTCCTCTGCCACAGGTGGCATCCGCTTCATTGCCACTGGGAGTGTCATGGGTCCAACTGTGTGCATGGTGGGGGCCTGGCTGCACTTAAGGAAGGGGGGACATCTTCTCATCTTCTGAAATATTCCCAGAGCTTCCACGGAGGCTATGACCTGTCTCAGGATCCACCTCCCTGTTATCAATATACACAGCCGCAGAGGGAATTGCTCCACATGTCTGAGAACGTGAACAGATGTTCCTGTGCACAAACATACCAGCAAGGCTCCAAGGTGCCTCCAGCCTGGTTTTAAACATTCGATTGGACAAACTCGAAACTGAAAAGGGCAACCAAGGTTAATGCCTCAGAAACCCAACAAGAGAGCAGCCCAGGGGGGGCCAGGCAGCTTAAGGAACCAAACTGCTCATTTTTATTAAAGGATTTCTTAACATTTACTTATTTTGTGTGTATGCGTGTGCATGCGTGCGTCTGTGTACATGCACACCACAGTGCATGGGTAGAGTCATATGACTACTGGCATGGATTCCTTATACCATGTGGGTTCCAGGGATTTGATTCAGGTTGTCAGACTTGGCCACAAGTATCTTTCCCCCCTAAATCATCTTACTGGCCCAACAATTTGTTTTCAACTTTGCTGCTGCTAACTGATGCCATTAAACAAGTTCAAAAATAATGTTTTTATCCATGAGCATGCAGGTTACTAATTATCTTTCTAACTTTACATCTATCTACTCATGAGTTGTTTGCAAATTATCTGGATTGAAGCAGGACGTATAAGTCCTACATGGGTCAGGATGTGAAAGACATACCTGCTTATAGAGCAATCTGTACCATGTAGGGGTGTGATTAATATTACTCCCTCACTGCTGTGACAAAATACCCCAGAAACTCAGCTCATAAAGAAGAAAAGTTTAGTTTGGCTCATGGCTCCAGGGGTCCTAGACCTCAGCTGCTTGGCTGCAGTGTCTTAGAGCCCATGGAGGGTGGGGAGCATCACGGCGGCATGTGGCAGAGCAGAGATGCTCACTTTGTGGAAGCCAGGAAGTGAAAGGGAGACAGACAGGCAGGGGCCAGGGTTCTAGTAGACCCCCTTCAAGGGCACACCCCCAGCGACCTAACTTCCTTCGACCAGTCCACAGGGCTAAAGGTTTTCCTATCTCCTTTTGATCTCATTCCATATCTAAGTAGTAGTGTCCTGGGACACTGTGGAGGAAGCTGGAGATGTGCCCTGCCTGATCCAAAAGCCACATGTGACAGAGGCATCTAGTCAGAAACCCCAGGCTGCAGCCCTCCCTTGGGAGATTCTCTGGACTGGCTGTGTCCAGTCCTTTGGGTAGCAGCCTCCATTTGTGCCTCTTGATGACTTTCTGCCTTCTTATCCCAGAATGCCTTAGGGGTTTAGACCCATCAAAATAGCCTGCCTTACCTGACTCTGTGGGAAGATGTAGGTGACACCCCACCCCACCCCATTCCATACATCCCATCCCAGGTGAGGTGGACTGTGGAGCTTCATCATTAAGGAAGTATCCATTGTTCTTAGGGGATGGTTGCCCCAAATGTGATGGACACACAACACACGGCTGCCACCCCTCACTACCTTGCATGGCAGACAGCACCAATCAATCCCTCATGACATCAACAACTGGTCTCTCATGGTATCTCAGTGAGCTTACACTTGGCCTCAGAATCCTGCTCATCCTCAGCACTATAGCCAGCAACTTCCCAAAGCAGGGCTGGCGTCTCAATCCCTTTATTATTGTTAATTATTACTGTTTGTGTGTGTGCAAACCTTTGTACACTTTGGGGTGCCTTCTCAATTGCACTCCACTTTTTGGAGACAGGGTCTCTGATTGGCTAGACTGGCCAACCAATGAGCTCCAGGGATCCATCTGTCTCCACCAGGCAGTGCCCAGGTTACGGACACACGGCTCTGCCTGGCACTTTACATGGGTTCTGGGGAGCTGAACTCGGGTCTTCAGACTTGCACAGCAGGCACTTTACCAGCTGTGCTGTCTCCCCAGCCTCCTGGTCACTATCTTCCAACCCTGCCTCATTCACTGCTCTGCAGACTGCCCAACCAGGAGGAGCACAGCACAGGTAGTGTATACTATCCCGAGTGGCAGGATGTGCACAGGGCAGCAAGCACGCAGCCCCCGAAAGAGTGAAGGAAAAGACAGGAAGGACCCTGAGAGGGAGAGACACAGAAGATTTAAGTGTGGTTACTTCATAACTCTGGCTGAAAACCAGCTGCAGAGGCCACCCTGGTTCCTGAAGTCACCCGGCACTTACTCTCTATACCCAATAGATGGCTGATTTAATGTCCCGTGACCCTGGCACCTGTGGGCACCTGTGGAGCTTTCTAACCTCTTAGTGTGTGCACGAGATCCAGGAACCCCGATGATGTGTTCTCAGAATGCCCTCTCCCCTTTGGAGCCTCTAATGAGGAATGCTGTGCACTTGATTTCAGGGAGGGGAACCATCTCTGGTCTCAGCTCCAACTTCTGTATCGTGAACTGCTTGCAAGAGGATGTGTAAAAAGCCCCTCACTGATCACTAAGCTTTTGCGGGTTATTACGATCCTAACAGAAATCTCACTGAGTGCTTCTCAGGTTTGTCCGATTAATCTCACATCAGCATCACAAGTCAGCCACCCTCACTCACTCCCCTGGTTTTCATAATGAGAACATAGTGTTTTTAGTGAGGTTAGCTCGCATGCCCGAGATCACATAGATGAACTGGCAGAGCCCAAATTCTAAGCACTGTGTCCAACCCTTACTTCTTGGCTGTCCGTTACCCTCATCTCTTGTCTCTCTGGAATATGAGACAGCCTGGTAGTGGGCCTAGAGGGGTCCCAGGAGCTATTTATAGTAGGAGACACAACAAGCAGAATGGTCATACTTTAATTGTGGTAAGAGCATTGCTGTGCAGGGCTCATGAACACAGACTGTTCTTTCCCACCCAGAACAGGAAGTGGGAGCAATAATTCTATTCTTGGCTCCAAGAAGAAAGTTTATAAATTTCTGCGGGAAACCACCAGTGTCTGGCTGGCTGTGAGTCCCATTTTCCTGGTGGCATTTTAAATTCTTAGACTCAGGATCCTCCGAGTCCTTTTGAGAAACATTCATGGAGATGAATCATGTTCCTGGGATTCAGTTTGAAGAGAACCATCTGATTTTGCAAACAGAGGCTGTGATTGAAATCTCACACACCAGGTTCTCCGAGTCAGTCAATCCATCAATCAACCAACCAACCAATCAGTATAAAAAAGCACGTTTGCATGTTTGGGACAAATCATCAATGAGTTGGGTCCTAGGAACATGAATTTCTGTGAATTTTTCGTGGTAAACCCCACCCTGCAATGTTCTGGAAAAGCTGATCTTGAGCTTGTTTTGTGATCTCTACGGAGAGCACAGGCTCAGCCCCGTGTGAGATATCCCAAGTCGCTCACGGATTTCTGTTCTTTCATGGCCAGTGAGAGATGCTCTGTAGCTCAGTAGAGGGAAAGCTCTGATAAGCTGAAATCCTTGTAAAATGAGGCCCACACTCAGCCCGGCACCTCCTGCCCGTCGGACACCCGACTGGACCTCCGCATCCACCTGGGACAGGTGTGGGGGTGGTGGTCACTCACCCTCACACTGGAGCAGGAAGAAGTCCATGTCGTGGCTGAAGGAAGCACTGAAGTAGGTGCAGTTCCCCACCAGGTCACACGACAGGCACCGCCTGTTGAAGTCGTCCACCGTGTTGGCGCTGGAAGAGCAAAGCCATGAACGAGGGGGGGTCAAGGCCTGAATTTCCCAGCAGGCGCCTTCTAGCTACTTCACACGCTCCTCTGAGGAGAGTGCACCTGTCCTGTGGACCGTACCGCGACCTCCCAGGCCTCACTCCATCAATCTTCACGGGGATACCTAACTTCATTTCCCAGAAGCCCTCCCAACCCATGCTTCCCCGGGTGCATTGCATAACGAAGCCATGGGAGTGGGCGTCTGGTCAGGCCATGGTGTCGTCACCTAGCATGGCCGTGGGCATTATCACCTAGTGCGGTTATGGGTGCTATCACCAAGCACGGTTGTGGGTGTCATCCAGCACCTGGTGGGGTCGCGGGCACCATCTCCTGGTGGGGTCATGGGCACTATCACTAATCATGGATGCCCTCATCTAGAGTGGTCATGTGCACCATCACCTGACACTATATCCTCGTAAATGACTCTCTGAGCTGATGATTGGCACTTTGAGAACAGTGGAGCCATTTTTCACATCCCAGATATCTGAGTGCCAAATGCCAGTGTACCAAGACAGGAGCTCCGTGACCACCAGGGAACTGGCTCTGTTCCTGGAACTCAGCTCTCCTGCCGGCAGGATGGTGGAGATGCTGCTTATTGCTTAGGGGTGGGTGAGTGGGAACCGGTTGAAGGTGCCGCCTGGAACCACCTGGTCAGGTGTAACCTGATCAGGAAGGCCCAAGGTGTTTCCACACAGTGAGAGATGAGGAGGTGCTGGAAAGTTCCTCTGTAACCACAGCTCCCTACGCGGAGCCTAGCTTTGTGACAATGAGGTTGTCACGGGAGACAGGAGGCAAGCTTCTCATGCTGTAGGTCACAGGGAAGGGGCTTTTGATAAAGTTGGTGGCCTGGTTTCTATGGTCCTAGCAGACCTGCAGAGGTCAACAACAGTCTACAGGGAGAAACAAGAAGGTGATTACAGGGCCCTGCTCACTCATGCTGGCCTTATACTAGGTGTAGAGTCCACTAGCTGGAGGGGAGACTCTCTGTCTCGGCCTCTCTAGCCTTTCTGGTCTACACCGCAGGCATTGCACACTCAGGGAGCAGCCAGCTGCAGCCTCCTCCTAGCTAGAAGTGTCCAGACTTGTCCAGTATTGTACTTCTTCTTGCTTCCATACTAGTGGGAAACACTGGGCCAAGATCACCTCAGGACAAAGCCCCCTCCCATGAGAACAGTAACAGTTAACAGGAAACACCGACCATGATGGTAACCTTAGATCTGGTCCCTTCCAGGATTCCCAGCGCCCAGCACGCCCATCCATCCTCTGCCCTTTTTGAGGTCATGGAATGTGTCCTGTCACACACCACGTGTGCAGCAGCTTACAGGTGACCCAGAGCCGCCTCCTCCCTGATGGCCCCTGGTCAGTTTTCAGATTAGACCCTGCTGTCCTGGAAACACCCAGGGGGAGAGCAACTTCCCCAGGTCACACTTGACTATAGGAACAAGGAAAGACCAGCAGAGCCTCTGGAGAGGAGAATGTATGTGTGTGTGTGTGTGTGTGTGTGTGTGTGTGTGGCCTCACATCTAGTGGCCTTGGCATTTTTCACCCTCTCTCCAGGCTTCATAGCCAGCCGACTTTCCTTGTGGCCTCCTATCAGCTGCAAAGCTTTGCAAGGTCAGGACAGCCCTGTGTGTGAGTGGTGGGGAGCCACTTACCTGTAGAGCTGTCGTCGCCGTGGCAGGTCCTCCGTGCTCAGGAAATAGCTGTGAAGATGAAGATGTACAGGGTTAGCTGGCCACAAGCCCTGTGCTTCTCAGGAACCACACGGTCCCGCAGCCTGCACAGTGGGCAGTGCTTACTACTGTACAGCGGGCAGTGTTCACAGGTCAGTTCCAGCCACACTCATGGCCAGGGCAGGGGAAGGCCAGATGCTGCAGGCAGGGGGGCCCATCTGTGCAGGGAGTTGCAGCTTGACGTGTCTCCTGTACTGACCGTGGTCCTAGAGCTGTGGGTCCTATAGGGGTGAGGGAGGAGATGGAGCACACCTGGAGTATGGGGACTTCTCTACCAGATTAGTAACCACCTGGAGGATAGGAACCCAAGAAGACTTTCTATGAGTCCATGCATCAAGCGTGGACCAGGGAAGACATTTCCACTGGCTTTCTCCTGTCTGGGCCCTCCTGCTCTGTGAGTAGTAAAGTCAAGCAGCAGTGGCTGCAGAACTGGGTCTGGATGCCCACGTCTGCATGGCACCTAGCTCCCTCTGTCACCAACTGAATAATCTGGAAAAAGCAACTTAATTTCTCTGCATCTTGCTATTTATTTGTTTGTGTGCATGCAGTTGTACATATGTACAGGTGCATGTGTGTGCAATGTAGAGGTCAGAGGTCAATCTCAGGTGTCATTCCTTAAGAGCTGTCTACCTTGCTTTTTTGAGACAGGGTCTTCTTGCTGGGACCTGGGGGCCAGCAAGCTCCAGGGACCCTCTTCCCCAGCACAGGCAGATTTACCATGCCTCGCTTTTTATGTGGGTCCTGGGAATTAAACTCAAGTCCTACGCTTGCATGACATGCACTTAATTTTAAAATGGAGAAGTGCACCTATCCCCACATATAACCACTATATTAGTGAGATAATGCAGGGGACGCTCTTGGCATGTGGTGCCCACGTCTAGCAGAGACTCAGTAAACATCTCTTGCACAGTGAGCACCCCTGTGACCCCATGTCACCTCACAGGTCTGTGGGAACCTTCCTTTGTCATAGTGCCTTGCAGCTTTGGGAGTTTGCTGAGTCAGGCAGGACCTCTGCTCACAGAAGCTTAGGAATGTAGGAGTGAGTGACATGATCTGGGAGAGAGGAGGCGGCCTTTATGGGCCACACTGTGCAGGCATTATTGGACTAGAAACAACTGGGTCTGCAGCGTAGGAGCTAGCTTGTAGGACCCTGGCCAAGTTCTCACTCACATCTTGTTCCGCTTCTCATCATAGGACAGGATCTTGGTCACGTCCCAGTCCCCGGAGGTGATGGACTGGATGTTGTCATTGCTGCTGTTGGGCTGAAATACAGACAACGTGTGAGGAAGGAGACACTGGCTTCAGCTTCAAGTCCTCGTCCCGGGGCTGCTGGAGTGAGGCAATGTCTTCCCCCTCTGCCCTCTTGCACCTCTCTCTGGGCCAGGCTCGAATCCAACATTCTCTGTGATGGGGTTGAGGCCCATTGCTGTGTGCCAGTGATGGGAGTGTCACATGGTCCCTTCCATGGGTCCTGACCCCGACACCCCATTCCTTCTTCCCACTGATACACATTCACTGCCAATACATTTGTGAATTTAGTGAGTGGAGTTGTTTGTCTAGGGGTCCAAGAGAGAGGAAGGACCAGGTAGGGGAAGGATGAGCTCAGGTGAGACCAGGAAGGAGTCAGGGAGGGAGGGAATCAGGGAAGGTCTACCATCATTTGCTGAGGTCCAGATTCCGCAGGGACTGTGACTCCTGCTGGTTAGCACACTCCTCAAGTGCCTCCCAGAGTCAGGTGGGGTAGTCACTAGAAACTTCCACCCCAGTAGGAGCCATTGGTAGCTGATTGGGGGCGCTGAGGTGCAGCGGTGGGCAGCTGTTCTGGGCTGTACGCACTGTGGGGAGCCAGCACAGAGTGAATGGACTCTAACTCAGCTGATGGAGGCCAACACGTGGCCCCAGGAGCTGGCTGTGTGTGTGAGGAGCTGAGTGTGTGAATGGTCTCAGGAAGGCAGTATAGCCCCCGGAGGCTCCAGGAGTGGGGCCAGGAGCAGGGAGGAGACCCACTATCTGGTGAGTATTAAGGGGTTGTCAGTGATTGCTGATCATCTGCAGGGATTCAGAGAGTGGGGCTGAATGAAAGCATCAAAACATTTTAATCCTCCGGGAAACAGTCCCAGTGAGAAACTACAGCCATCTGTGGTTGTAGAACAAAGGCCACAGAGTGAACAGATAACAGTTTGTGGATACCCTGTGAGTCATGTGACCAAGTGGCTTGAAAACGGAAATGTCTGCCTACATCCACAGTAATCATCACTTCTGCCTGCAGTGGTCCAGCCCTTCCCTCCTCCCTCCCAGCTGCGCCTTTCTCCCGAACATGCTGAGTTCACACCACACACACGAGCACCCTACTTCCTTCCCACAGTGCTTCCAACTGGCCTTCTTCCTAAGTGTATTTTATTTACTTGCCCCAATCCTTTGCCAGCTGCAAAATCAAGTCTGCACTCAAGATGGGGCTGAACCAGGAGCATCTGGCACATTCCCACCCCTGCTGCCTGTGTCTCAGGGCAGAGATCCCAAAGCTCAGTGCCCGCAGCTCTTGTGTGGTCACTTGTGCACAGGGGATGCATCCACTAGACTTGGGGTGTGTGTTAACCTCTGAGGTTAACCTCTGAGGTCCCCGCTTGGAAGCACTGGCCCCTGAGCCTGGACCAGAACAGGAGAGGTTGCATGGCATCTCTGTCACATGGCCAGATCTGCTCAGGGCTCAAAGTGAAGGGGGGCTGGGGCTGGGGTGGGGGTGGGGGACTCACGAGGAACCCAGAGCAGCAGGTGAGGAAAGGGAGCACGTAAGAAAGGGCAGTCGGCCACTCAGCACTCAGCTCGAGTCTGCAGCGTTACCCACCAATGAGCCCCAGTGACCTCCACCGTTGCTAGAAATGTATGATTTCATGCTTCATGCTCACGTCCTTGAGTGCCAATAGAAAACGCAGACCTCGGCACAGCCCTGCTCAGAACTCCTGCACTTGGACAAGTACCACGCTCCCCCCGACCCCCAACCCAAACGCAACATCGGCCTCCTAGGGATCCTGGGGAAGGCTGGGTGTGGTCACTGCAAGAGGCCAGCACCAGCGGCACAGTCACCACCGATGGCAGTGGGGTTACCTGGGATGACGACACGGTGATGTGATAGAACTTCCCCCGTCCCCCCTGCGGGATCGCTCTGACAAAGAAAAACTTGCGGCCATCTTTGGAGAAAACAGGTTCTTCATTCTGTAGAAAAAGACCATAGGTCCTGTCAACATACAGGTGAGAAGGATCACCCTGAGCTGCTCTTTGCCTGTAGTTTCTAATGAAGATGCAGCTGGAGTGAGTGCCAGGTGGGGCCTCCGCCTTCTCTGGGACCAGTGAGTTACATATTCACTTTTCTAACAGCTGATAAAGGAGCATCCGACTCCATAGTCCAGGCTAGGGAGATGCTCAGTCAGAAAAGTCCTTACTGTGCAAACATGAAGACCGGAGTTCAGATCCCCAGAACTCACATAAAAAGGCAGGAGTGGCAGCAAGAGACTGTATCCCCAGTGCTGGGGTGGGGACAGAGACAGGAGGATCCCAGAGCTCATCGGCTAGCCAGCCTAACCTACCTGGTGAGCTCCAAGTAACTGAAGAAGATACTCATGCTAGTCTCTGACCGCCACACATACACACACACGTACCCGCACACGTATCTGCACATACCCAAACATGGACATGCATCCTACATAAATATTCTGACACACACACAAGAATGCACAGCCCAGGCAGAGGTAGATAACAGGGCTGCCTATAGTGTGCAAAGACCAGAGAAGAGACGGACATGTACACATACCACGCACACTCCAAGGGCCAGAACCGTGCTGGGGTTGGAATGTGGTGGCCTTCGATGGCTGCCTCAGAACCTTCCGCCCGCAAAGCTGCTGCAGTGGCCTTTATCACACACCAGACAGAAGCTGATTCCAACAGTCACAGATCTGGCCCTGTATTTTCCCGTCTTTCATAAACTCTGTCTCACACTGAATGGCCTGTTCAGGAGACACATCCAGGGGACAAAACCTACTCGGGCCAATTGTATCTATTCTAAAATGTAGAATAATTAGTGGAGAGTGTGCCCAGGGCCTGCCGCTGTCCAGAGAAATCCTGCACAGGCACTAGAGGGCCCATCGGCCTCCAGCCATAGTGACTTCTTAGAAACCACAGCAGCATCTCCAGGCTTCCTTGGTGACCGGCTGCAAGCTGGACATCAGGCCTGAGGAGCGTGCTGTTACCACTGAGTGTACTGCCTGGCCCCTGCAAAGTCGAGCAGGTGGGTATCTGCAGCCCCCAGCCCGCCCTAGTGTGGCGCTGGCTCTTTGATGGGTAGGAAGGAGCTTTGGTACAGCAGCATCTATACCACTCTGAAACCCAAGTCTGGACGTTTCCATCAATTAGCTGGCTGTGCATATTGTGATTTGAGGAGCTCCCCAATAATACAGGAGTGGGAACAACTGGTAAATAAAGAGCAGCTGGTGCAGGAAAAACTCATTTCTCTTCAGGGAACGAACACATGCAAATATGTTAGACTCGGAGAAATAAACTAACATGTGATTAAAATGACATTTAATCTTCATGAATATTTGCAATAAAGTGAAACCTTTAATCTGCAAATATTGATTTTTCTATTTAGAGTTGGGAGTGTGGTATTTAACAGGAGGAGAGGATGGGGAAGAGCGGCCGTTAATTTGGCTTTTTAGACGGATTGCCATTTGCCAACAGTGGGTGGGTGACGCACCACTCCCCCAGTTTTCTGGGGAGATGTCTGCACTTTGGACAGAGATTAAAAGTAGTAGTATTAATTCTGGCCGAAAGCATCATGCTCGTAACAAGAAGGCCCGAGCCTCTGAGGTCACTGGTTCCATTGATCTCTAGAAACTTCTAGAGCACACTGAGGAATTTGGAAGCCTCTTGGAAACTGTTTCACATATGGTAAATAAATGTTTGTGTTTGAGTGTATGTACATGCACGTGTGTGTGCATGTGCGATGCCTCTGTGTATATGTCCATTGGAAGTCAGAGCTCCATCCTGGCTGTCCTTCAGGACACTGTCTGCCTTAGTTTTTGAGGTCTCTCACCAGCCTGAAATGTGATGATGTGGACAGAGCAAGTCCCAGGATGCTTCTGTCTCCATGTCCCTGGTCCTGGGATTGCTAGCACGCACCACCATGCCTGGCATTTTTTTTTTTTATGGGTTCTGGGATTAAATGCTTGCATGACAAGCATTTTACCAGCTGAGTCACCTTCCCAGGCCAGTAAATAGACATTGAGTGATAAAGTGCAGGGCTTTTAGACTTGGGAACCAGAGGGAACACTTCTGTCTCCCTGATTTGGTGCCTGGCTGGCCCAGCTCCCCTGTAGTAGCGGGCCCATGAAGCATGCAGGCTTGCATTGGTGAGGAGTTTCTCCTGTTACGGCTGGAACTCTCCAGTCAATTCCTTCCCTAGTTCCTGCATGCTCGTCCTGTCCTCCAAACTTCCAGTCCATTGACTGAGATCACCAAACCAAAATATCTGGTTAGGAAGGATGACAGGGACACATCCAGAGAGTCCCCAGCTTCAACCAACCACAGCTTGGGATGCTGGGGCTGGAGGGCCTTTGTAGATCCGCACCAGGGCCAACTTTAAGGTCTCAGCTGCAGTGATGACAATACACTTGGCCAGAAGGGATAGTCTATTTCTCTAGACTATTCCTAGAGGGGAGAGCACTTGGCTGGCATCCACACACACACACACACACCCCTTCTTTCTGGTTCTGTGGAGTCTCTGTGGGATCTAGGCTGAAGCCTAGGAAGGAGATGGAGAGAGTTGGAGACGCACCTAGGCAGGCAGATGACAACACACAGCTGGAGGCGCTGCTGCAGCCCCACCCTCCAGGAGGGAGACTGGTCCATCTGAGCAGACAGGACCCTCCTTGTGGTCTGAAGGGTTTTTTATAGGCTCTGTGCTTCAAGATGTTGAGTTACATGGGAGGTGGATGGGCAGATGGAGTATGGCCTCAGTGTATTGCCCTGGATCACACCTGCAGCCTCTGCTAAGATGTGCCTGAGCCTGAAGGGGCAGCCAGTGGCTTCTCGACAGAAGCCAGCAGGCCCAGACTTTCATAAGCTCAGGAGCTGTTCTAGAAGATGCCACAGTATCACGAGGGATACAGAAGGATTACAGATCAGTTTTGAAAGCAGCGACCACAAATCCCTTTAGGGAAAAAGTATGTAAGAAGCAGTGGTTTGATTACTCCAGAGCCCAGGCAGCTCTGAGCTCCACATAGAGTCCCAGACAGTGTCAGGTGGTCAGCCACACTGCAGCTTCTCACAGCAGCCCTTGATGGAGCTCATGACGCAGGAGGAGCTTGGAGGTCTGGAGTGTCACACAGCGTCTCAGAGGAGAGTGTTTTCGTAGCAGAATGTGGCCCTTTAAACTCAGACTGTACCACACAGTGTAAGTAGTTGCTTCTTCAGATATTGGCTACTTGCTCAGTAAATGAAATGTACATTCTAAGACACTGAAAACAATTCCTTTAGTCCATCCTGCCATTCCTTGGTCTCCACGCTGCTGGGAAACATCTGGTTGCTGGAGTCCCTTTGGGAGTTAGGGATGTGTACTCCGCGTCTGGGTTTGCATCCTCTCCTGGGTGGTGAGACGTGGTCAGAAAATAGGAAGATCTGGCTGGTGACTGTGGCTGTGTGGCCACTCTGCGGTGCTGAGGAGGAGGTGGGCAGTGGAGAACAGATGGAGGTTGGTCCCCAGAACCCCAGGACAATGCACTGTCCAGTCAGGCTGAGGTGGAGACAGAGGCAGGAAGTATCTCCCCAGGGGAGTGTCCTTGGGGTTGGGTGCATGGACATTGAACTGTATACTTCTAGCTGGGCTTTAAAAAATATTATTTTTATTTTATGTGTATGAGTGTATTGCCTGCATATATGTGAGTGCATCCAAAGTGTCATTAAGTGGCTGTGGAGGTCAGAAGAGGTTGTCAGATCCCCTGGAACTGGAGGAATGGATGGTTGTTGGCCGCTGGGAATTGAACCTGGGTCTTCTGCAAAAGCAGCCAGTGTTCTTAACCACTGTGCCATCTCCCTAGGACCCCCACCACCCCCAAACTAGGCTTTTCAGCCTTCTTTTACCTCCCTTCAAATCCAGTCTGTGTAATAGTCCCACATTTGCCCCATGCTACCCTGCTCCCTGGCTCTCCTGCGATGGGAGGCTGACCACCAACACAGTTTCTGAGTCTAGTTTGGGGTGACCCTCGCTCTCACACCTTGTTGGTTATGAACACATCCCGTCTCCCTGTCTAGGTCAAGCCATGTAAGAACTGCACCGTTGCTGATTTATGATCTAAAAATCCATTAAGGCAAGAGTCACAAAATAGAGCATTCTGATAAAGGTGAGCTAGCTGCTGCTATCTAGTTCTGTTTCTCTGCCAAACAAAACCACCAAGTCACCCCAACCACCATTCCTGGCAGCCACTGGTCAGCAATTTCTGTGGATGCATTTATTCTGAATGTTTCATATGAATGGAACCACATCACAGGGGCCTTTGATTCGTTTTTGTGTTTGCACATGTGTGTGATCTTTAGGATTTACTTCACATAGTCTCCAGCCTCTAAAGCCTGTTCTAACATGCTTTTCTGATAACCAAGTTAGGGGTTAAAAAAAAAATCTCAGGGATGACTCTGGGGTCAAGTTCCTAAGGAAAGTCTAGCTGAGCCGCAGCAGCAACTGCTTCAGAGGTTAACCTCTGACAAGATTATCCATAAAACCACACCTAAGAATAAGCAGGAGGGGCTGAGACATGGCTCAGCACTTAAGAGCATTGCTATTCTTGCAGAGGACCCAGGTTTGGTTACCAACACCCACATGGCAGCTCACCATCACCTGTGACTCCAGCTCTAGGTGATCTGACACCCTTGCTAGCCTCCAGGTACTGAATGCATGTGGTGCATATACACACATGCAGGCAAAACACTCATTCACATAAACATTTAAAAATTATATTTTAGTAGACTGGACACTGGTTCAAGTCCATTTGGTGGGGTCTCCTTGGCCTCCTTGATCAAGAGGACAGGTGACCTACCACCGTTACAGGACATTTTGAGAGATGCTCATAGTCCCCTGGAACTAGTCGACCTACGAGGGCAAGGAGCAAAAACTGTCCTTTATGTCCCTCTGACCAAATTATTATAGGCCTCAAAGTATGTCTGTTAAACACCCAAGAAGGTTAGTTCCACCAGTCTGGTACTTTTAGTTACTGTGTGTCATGTAGATAAATCTTGGGCAAAGACCAGTTGTTCTCAGATAAACCTTACCTAGACATATATTTCTTGATCTGCTATGTATAATTTGTCAGTAGGTTGTAGGAGTAATATGGTTCCCTCTGGTTTTCAAAACTGGCTAAGCATTCTTTATCTCTCGCATTGTATCACCCCTCCATCATGGTTTTCCCACTTAAGGTGCCCCCATTTCCCCCTTTCTCCCTTAATAATACCCTTCTCCTAGGTCCTATCTCTCTTGAGCTCCTTCTTTCCCTTTATCCCCTAGGTTCCTTGCAAAGCCAACCATGGTCGAGCAGGACCTTTGACTTATCTTCACATAGGTGGAACTGGTAAAAGAAAGGAGCCAGGGGCTCCTCCCAAGCCCATGTGACCCCTGAGGAACAGATCCTCAAATGACCTTAAGAGTAAAAATAAATTGGTTTACCTGGGCCAACCATATGGCCTTAAACACCCAAAGAGAAAGTATAACCAAAGATTAAAGGGGCCAATATAATTTCTTAAGAGTCCACGTGTATAGCTAAAGGCTACATAACAAGCAACAATGCCAGATAGGAGATACCTTCTTTTGAGTTGTTGGCCAGGGTGGCCAAAGGGACTCCCAGATAGTAACCCAGCATAGAACTGGGAAAATGAACAGCAGACCCCAATCTTATCTAAAGGAATATTGACAACTGATTGCTGCTAGATGAGGAACAGCTGATCCTCCTAAAACAAAGACCTCTAGATAGGCTGACTAGAGTCACCAGAAGGGCAAATAGTGGGGAATGGCTGAGGGTGCCAACACCACAGGAGACAGTAGCAGGGATATCAGAGCATAAGGGCTCTAGTAGGGGGAGGGAGGCTATGGGAGGGTGCCATCTGGGAACTGGGTGTATAGTTGAATAAGACGGTTTGGGATATTGTGTGTGATACACGCACGCACACACACATACACACAAATCAACAAATTTTTAAAAATGCATTATATTTGAGGAGGAAGCATAGAAATTTACATCATGCTAATTATGTATGAAATCTACCTGATGACTTTATAGACATACACAGGAGCCAAGGATGGCTAATAATAATCAGATACATACAGATTTGAGATGCATGAGCCAACATCTATTCTAAAATGAAATGGAGATCTTTTCTAAAGGTTAAAAACTCAATTTTATGTCTTACAGGGCTTATACTAAGTTCAATACTGTATAACTGTATTAATTCAACTGTGAACCTAGAAACTTGCACCCACTTATGAAAGAGATGTACTCTTGCTCTGGAGTGTGTTATGGAATATGTTAACGCTGTAGTGAAATGCTTCTTCTAATCATGTAGTTATTAAAAATTTTTAAAAATGTTAAAAAATAATTCTTCAAAGCATAAGAATTTGCTCCTTATTAGTAGATGTGAAAAACATTACCATTGAAATCTACCTGATGACTTTATATCCATGCTCAGATGCCAAGGAGCTCAGAAAGCAACCGAAGGTAGCTAGTAATAATCAGATATATAGAGATTCGAAATGCATGTGCAAACATCTTAATGTCAATTGCATTAAAAATGAAGTTTTCTGTATGAGACTATGTATTTTAATAATGAAATGGAGATTTTTTAAAGGTTAAAACCTCATTTAATTTTATGTCTTATAGGGTTTATACTGAATATAACTGTAATAATTCAACTGTAAACCTAAAAATTTACAGCCAATTTGGAAAGAGATGCATCTCAGCTCTGGAAATTGTTATTGAACATGTCAATGCTCTTGTAATGAAATGCTTCTTCTAAGTATGTGGTTATTAAATAAATAATTAAAAAATTGTATTTTAGAAGAATAAATGAGAATACAAACTGCGTTTCCATTTACTTCACTGTCCTTACCTGAGCCCCGAGCTCCACCTGCCTTCCTTCACAACTGGGCAACTCCTAGGGCCTCACCATTTTGAGAGTGGAGGTTTCTCCAAACACTATCCTGAGGGCCAGTGACTTCCAAACTATCTTCCAGGGAACTCGGCTTCTAAAGACTGCCTTCTAAGCTTCCCAGGAGGACGCAGAAAAGATGGTCAGGCACGCACTGGCCCAGCCACACAGCACACACACTTGATGACCCCAGGAGCCCTGAGTCATGCTACCAGGGAAACCATGAAAACTGACACCATTCTGTGACGGGCCCAGGGTTCAGGGTGAGGTGAGCTGGGGACTGCGACGCGGAGTTACCTGTCTGTGGAGCCAAGCTTCGCTTTCGTCCTCGTGTTTCTGAAATAAAAAAGGAGCATTAGAAAACAGGCTTTGTTTGTTTGCATGTTCTGTACAGAGAATGATTTGACTTTGCTGTGTTACAGGACAGCTGCTCATGCACAGAGCGGCCGCTGGTGCTGTGGAGTGGGGAACTCTCTGTTGACTGCTGTGTCCCCTACCGTGGCTCACATCCCAGTACCAGTGTCCTCAGGGAAGAGAAATGCCACCGTCCCTAACAACCAGGATGATCCACAGCAGGGAGCAGGCCTGTGAAAGTTGGTGCATTTCTAATGCTTGGCGGTCACCACTGGCCAGCCTGTCCCCACTTGGCAGTCACACTAGCTGGGAGTGTGCCCATTTGGCAGTCACCAGGGGCCAGCACATCCCTTTAAGAGGCAAGCCTCAGGTGCTGGACTGTTAGAACTGGTGAGTGTGCTTGTGGATGCTGGGTCAAAATTTCCATTTGTAACTCTGAGAAACAGTCCTGGAACCAGAGCCGTTCAAAAGGGGTCAAAGCATCTATGAAAGTTGATCTATAGAGCTGTGTGCAAAGATACACACACCAAATAAAAAACAAACCTCAGATTCTAGAAGATGTCTGCTGAGCACAGACTATACTGTCCAAGGTGCCATCAGCCTGGTGGCAGACTGGCCGTGGCCCTGGGGACAGCTGCTCTTTGGTTTCATGGTGGGCGTGTGTAGGACAGGCACAGAGGTTTGGATGGTAAGTAGCACACAGCTGTTCAGACTTATGTCCTGTCTGCCTGCCTTCCCCTTGGGCAATGCCCATTAGAACCATCCAGAATTGCTTCAGGTAATCTAACAGGAAATCTTACTGTACTATCCAACTAGCAGTTAGTGCTACAAACAGGTCACTGTGACCTGCCCCAGAACTCCCGGAGCAGTGTCCCTAGAGCTGCCCAGTAGGACCCACAGGCCTTGGTGAATCTGTCCAGGTAAGCCTGGTGCTTCTTGGTGGAAAGATAGAGGCCAGATCAAAAAGTGTTTCTGGAAGACCTGCCTGAAGTGTGGACTGATCTTCAAATCAAAGCCAGGTGACCTCCTCCTTAGGGCTGTAATCCAGCCATGTGGAGGCAAGGCCTGTGGGGTGGGGCCTGACCCTGCTAGTCTCCAGCGTCCTGCCCCACCTGGGCCAGGGGCACCTGGCTCTGGGGCAGTGCAGGGCAGAGCATGCCGGACTGAGTGCTCAAGGCAGCCCACTCGGGGACTGGGCCTGTCCTGCCACCACTCTGGAGCATCAGAGAAGAGTGCTGTTCCCAGCTCAGCAGTAGCCAGTGTGAAGGGAAATAGACTTCCCTGCTAGGACCCCAGTGAGCCACAGGATTGATGCTGTAGCAGTACCTGACTTGGCCACCAGGTGGCACCCAAACCAGAGTCTGGCCACTATCTCCAATGGCCCTGCCGCTAAACCAGCGCTTGCTTCACATTTGCCCAGGGCGCTCCAAGGGATTGGATGCCTCCTCTCGTGCTTACAGCCACTCCTTCACCGGCCCCCATGGCTACCCTGTACCTTAGTGCAGACCCCTGTGGTGGCATCGCAGAGGGTCAGGATGGACACGTTCTGGGCCCGGTTCAGCCAGGTCACGGCAACCTTGGTGCTGGTGGCCCACTTCACCATGGTGATGTAGTATTCCCTGAGAAGACACAAGACACAGCAGAGTGAGCGGGACCAGCAGGAGCCGGCCACACCCCAGGTCCGCAGACACTGTGTACAGGTGGCCAGCAGCCAGCAGGAGCAGGCCACACCCCAGGTCCGGGTACCGCAGCCACTGTGTACAGGTGGCCAGCAGCCAGCAGGAGCCGGCCACACCCCAGGGCCGCAGACACTGTGTACAGGTGGCCAGCAGCCAGCAGGAGCAGGCCACACCCCAGGTCCGGGTACCGCAGCCACTGTGTACAGGTGGCCAGGGCACTGCTGGCACCTTGGACAGCACCACTTGTGCTCTGGGCCTCAGAAATGAGGTCATCAAACACGCACGTGGTCTCAGAGCTCTAAGGAAAGCTGAGCATTAGGGTGGTCAGCACCGGGTTCGTCCACCAGCTGGGCTGTACAGCCGAAGGGGGGGCTGCCCTGTGAGGTTTGGGGTCACAGCTCCGGCTGATGGATTTCTATTGATTTCAGTTTTCACATCGCAGTCCCCATGAAGGCAGGATTCTACAGAAGCTGGTGCTGTGGTATGCGGGGTGAAGGGCCCTGCAGAGGGGCCAGGCAGAGACGTGAGGGTGAGAGGGAGGGAGGAGGGTCCCCGAGTGAGGGACTATACCAGGGGCTCCTCGGAGAGATTCTGAATTGGGTTATTGAAGGTTCTGTTCTGTTTCTCTCTTCTTTAGGGACAAAATACCCAGGATTAGCGAAGCTGACTATGTCCCTGGGCTGCCAGGACCTTGGTTTGCTAGTCTAACTGTCACATGTCCAATTTTACCCATCTGAAAATACCACTGTGCTTTGAGCCACCCTGTGTTAAAATTGGGCATGTGACTAGCATGGTTTGCTAGACTAGCTTAGACTAGCAAACCAAGGTCCCAGCAGCCCAGGGACATAGGCTATTACCTAGAGCCCTAAAAAACTGGGATCTGTACTTCACATTTAAGAGGAAGAAGAAAATGTCAAGAAGGTAAGTTTCCCAAGTAAATTATATTCAGGTGACTTCCCAGAATGTTCTAGAAGCCAGTCAAAACATTTGGTCACCTGCCTGGTATTTATCTACAATATCCTTGGAGATATACCCCCCAGAGGTGGGCTCCTGTGTTTCAAGGCTACATGCTGGGGCATCATTTATAATGGTGGAATTCAGTCATATCTGAACGCTTCTAGGAATAAGCATTCCTAATCTCATTTTGGTCCTTAAAAATATTTCAACAAGGGCTCAGTTGGTAAAGTGCTTGTCCTCAGAAGCCATGGAAGAAAGCCAGCACAGCAGTGTGTGCCTGTGGTTCCAGCACTGTGGGGAGCAGACAGAGGCCCCTGGCTAGACAGCCTGGCCGAATTGGTGAGCTCCAGAGACTCTCTCTCTCTCTCTCTCTCTCTCTCTCTCTCTCTCTCTCTCAAAAAGGTAACCTGATGCTGGCATACACATGTTCTCCCACACATGTGCACCCACACACCCACATGTATGCACACAGTATTTCAAGAGCTGTGCCAAGCCCCTGCTTCCCTTCTCATTTTTGGTGCTGTCATAACACAGTGGGTGGAGGTCAGCAGTTTGAAGACCCCTGAGGATCATGTGCTAAAGACCCACCTGGGCATTGCTGGGTGCAGACATCCAGGGAGTGGGTGTGAGGCTACATCACACCTGAACTTACTGCCAGCAATGCCACATATGTGGGAGGTGAAGAGCGAGGGCTCCAGGAGGATGGCCTCTCCCCCAGTCTCCCTTCTAACAAGGGGGCTCTGCCTGTTTCCTTTGTTGGCACATCACCCTGCACCCCATTCTGGCTGGGTAGGATTCTCCTGCACCAACAGCCTCATGGAGTGAAATACAAATTCTCTGCTTTCTATCGCTGATTTGTGGGGGTCAGTTCTCTCCTTCCACCATGTAGGTCCCAGGGATCGAATTCAAGTCATCAGGTTGGTGGCAAGTACCTTTACCCACTGAGCCGCCTTGCCAGCCCCTCTATCCCTGATTTACATATGACATGCTCTAAAGGGGAAAAATGGATGAATGCACCACTCTCTTCTAGAAATAAACTATCCAGTGCTACTTCTGAAACAAACCACCAAAAATGTCCTCAGGCTGTGTGCTGTGGGACGGTGTGGGAGGGGCTGTGTGCTGTGAGACGGTGTGGGAGGGGCTGTGTTGTGGGATGGTGTGTGCTGGGCTGTGTGCTGTGGGACGGTGTGCGAGGGGCTGTGTGCTGTGGGATGGCGGGTGCAGGGCTGTGTGCTGTGGGACGGTGTGCGAGGGGCTGTGTGCTGTGGGATGGCGGGTGCAGGGCTGTGTGCTGTGGGACGGTGTGCGAGGGGCTGTGTGCTGTGGGATGGCGGGTGCAGGGCTGTGTGCTGTGGGACGGTGTGCGAGGGGCTGTGTGCTGTGGGATGGCGGGTGCAGGGCTGTGTGCTGTGGGACGGTGTGCGAGGGGCTGTGTGCTGTGGGATGGCGGGTGCAGGGCTGTGTGCTGTGGGACGGTGTGGGAGGGGCTGTGTGCTGTGGGATGGCGGGTGCAGGGCTGTGTGCTGTGGGACGGTGTGGGAGGGGCTGTGTGCTGTGGGATGGCGGGTGCAGGGCTGTGTGCTGTGGGACGGGGTGGGAGGGGCTGTGTGCTGTGAGACGGTGTGGGAGGGGCTGTGTGCTCTGGTTTTGGAACAAGTCACTAAGAGGCACATCTTTGGCTGGAGAGATGGTTCAGATGTTAAAGGCACTGGCTGCTCTTGCAGAGGACCTGGGTTCAGTTCCCAACACTCATGTGGCAGCTAACAACTTTCTGTAACTCCAATTCCAGGGGATCTGATGCCCTCTTCTGGTCTCCATGGGCACTGCACACACAGGTGCATTTACAAACATGCAGGCAAAATACTCATACACATAAAATAAAAAGTTAACAAAATAAATGCACAGAGCAGTGAAAAAGCCCCATGGTATACTGGCCTGGGCCGTGTGGAACCTGCTCTAAAGATGCACCTGCTTATGGCTACTCTGGGTGTTCTGGTTTGAGTGAGTTCCTAAAAATGAGACTCTTTTTCAAAGCTCTCTAGAAACCAACTGATATTAACAGGAAGGAGAGGGAGGGGGCATATCAACAACAGAACATTTAATTCATGATAGTCAGTTGATTTGAGGACCACTCATGACCTGTCTGCTCTGGCAGACAGGAGACCAGAGCATGTCTAAGCATCACCTAACTGTAGATCTCTAGTGCCATCCCTGTCCCTACTAAATGCCCTTTGAATGAGTGAATATTTTTGTACACAGATAGGGTCCTTTGGAGCAAAGAAAAATTTGGGAGCAGTTAAGGAGAGGAGGAAGTAGGCACAGTCTCCTCTGAGCAAGTCAGGACTGGAAGTACCTTGAGAGAGCACAGCGTTGCGGTGTGCCTGCTAGGTGGATGGCAAGAGACAGACAGTGCAAGAGGCATGCTTGGATGATCATTGGCATCACTTTAAAATATTTTATTATTTTTTATGTGTATGAATGCATAGCCTGCATGTAGGTAGGTGCACCCATGTCGTGCAATGCATGAGGAGGTAATAGGGTATCAGATTCCCTGGAACTGGAGTTTACGGACAGTTGTTAGTCACCATGTGGATGCTGATAATCAAATCCAGGTCCTCTGGAAGAGCAGCCAGTGCTCTTAACTGCTGAGCCGTCTCTCCAGCCCCTGGCATCACATATAAAAAGGAACATAATAGGATTTCTGCAAGCAATGCTCTCAGATGTCTGTCTTTTCCTCAAGGACAGATCTGCTCACAGATACAGTTACTTCAAGTCCTTAGGGCAGAACACATGGAAAACAGGTTCCACTTAAAAAATGCAGAGATGGGCAAGTGCTGACTCACAGGATGGACAGAGGCCTTTAACCTCAGTGTGGGTGGGGACTTAACCTGCAGAAGGAAGCTTCCCGGCAGAGTGTGGGAGGATCACTTGCAGAAGCTTGGCTGAGGCCTGGATCTCCAGCCAAAGGGGCTGTCAAATCAGAGCACAGTGGCACTTGCTGGTGAGCAGTAGATGAATTTTTTATTAGCCCACTTGTTTGCCATAAAATATTAATAGCACATCGTCTCTCTCACAGGGATAGATGTGCCCTGTCTTTTTTGGGATTTCAGATGCTGGGAAAGGCTCTGACATTCTGGGCAATAAAGGGCCAAGTGAACAAAGTCTGTTTAGCCAGTGAAATGAAGATCTGGCAATTAACCCTGGCATCTTTAAAGCAATGTTTATTCCATGGATGAAGCTGGGACAGAACACATTGTGAGAGGGGAATTTGTTTTTTAAAAGGATGTGGTTTAGTAGAGGGCAGCTTTGAGCAAACTGTGAGCCTAAGACTGCTTGACAAAGCCCACAGTCCTGCCTGGTTGGCTTCAGAGCCATCACACAGCTGCCTAATCGTGTCTGCAGGCAGAGTGCACCACAGACAGTGGACAACTGATACTTTAAGATAGATGGCTATTCGACATCTTTCCCTAAGTTCAAGTTCACCAAGGACTAAGAGTGGACCATGCTACCCTTTCCTTCTACCAGAGGGGCTAGCTACAGAGCAGGGCTGGATGGCAGGTGAGAGAGGATCAGGTGTGACAGACCTGGGGGACTTGGGCGTATGTCCAGCAGTTAGATGCTGTGACTATGAAAGGATCGACTGAAGAGGAGTGGCAGAGAAATTCTTACTGAAGCCCTTTCCTACATCTCTAGTGTAATATATTCAAAACCTGTTCACACCATCGCCCAACCGTCTGGTCATTTATGCTTCCACCTGTCCATCATCTCTTAATTGTCATCCATTCTCCATCCATCATGTATCCTTCCACCCATCTAATCACTCTTCCTTTTATCCATCTGCCCACTTACCTAGCCACCCATTCAGTCCAACCATCCATCTAGCCATCCACCCATCCAATTAATCCATCTAATCCAATCCAACCCAACCAGCCACCTGTCCCAATCTAATCCATCCATCTGCTCCATCCGCTCCGTCCACTCCA